TTGGAATGGCCATCAGCCAGTCCGTCACATTCCGCACGATGTCTTCTCTGGACTAAAACTGGGTTCCTTTTAGCGGCATTTTCAGCTTGAGAAATAGCCAAAAGTCACATGGAGCCATGTGGGGAGAGTACGGAGCGTGACGAACCACAGGAGTGTTGTGTTTGGCGACAAAAGCCCGAATCAGTTGCGCAGAATGGGCAGATGCGTTATCACGATGGAGCTGCCAAGTTTTGATCGACCACAGATCTGGTTGTTTGCGTCGCACTGCATCGGAAAGACGACGAAGGACCTCCTGGTAGTACTCCTTTGTGATGGTTTGGCCTTATGGTGGGTACTCACGATACACCACCCCATGAGAGTCGAAAAAGCTGTCAACATGACCTTGATATTGCTGCAGACCTGCCGTGCTTTTTTTGGCCTCGAGGATCGTCCCCAAAAGCCTGCTGAATCTTGCAAATGGTTTATGCTTGGGTATTGCCAAGGTTTTTGGCAAAATTTGATGTAATATCGCTGCTCACGTTGTTCAGTCATTTTCCAACTTAGTGGAATCCTATGAGAGCTTGCTATATGTCCTCACTCATAGGCCGACTGCCAACAACTGACGTTTCCTGCAGGTGGGAAAAATTCAGGGCTGTGCATGACTGTCCCCTCCACAACTCCACCAAAAGAGGCCTCCCACGCATCATTGGTTTACGCAGAAAAAATAAAAGTCTGATACTTTTTGAACAGACCTCGTAGAAATAGTGGCCTTTGCCGCAATGGACGACGACGTAACTAGAGGCGACGGAGGAAGGAGCCCACCCAGTAACTTAGCTATAGCCTTCTCCAGGTGGTAGGTTGGGTGGGACCTTTTATTAACCACATCATTGTCCATTGCGGCAAAGGCCGCTATTTCTACTGTATTGGGTAATCTATCCCATAGCAACAGACCTCGTATAATTCGTAACCATGACATTTATCATAGTCATAAAGTTAGCCTGAGAAGTAGAAAATGAATAGAAGTTATGAAAGATAAATCTACTAATTTCTATCTCTAAGATCAATTAGATATTAAATCTGTATTTAGAAATATCTTCCTTCCATATTTCAACAAAATTGTGAATATAACATAAAATCAAATAAAATCTAGATTTGTAATAGATAATTTTAATATAAAAATGGGATAGTAAACAATATCAACAGGAAATATCACTAGTAATAAAAATTTTTTCTGAAACTGCACATTTGCCTATTAAAAATTATGCATTTTCATGTCTATGTAACTTTCATTACAAATGTTGCAAATAAACATTTTTATTATTCACTATAAACACCATTTCAGCATCAACTAAATTATTAATTGCAAGATAAATTACAGTATTACTACTCTTATGATATTGCTTTACAACTTTATGANGCATACCGGGTGCTGTAGGATCCCATGGCACCAAACCATGTTTTGTCCACTATTGAAACACCTCATTTCAATAAACGGACATTCACGGTTTAATAGTGAACACCCCCTGTCCATGACTAGACAGAGTAACCAAAAAATGCTTGAATCAATACTGTATGTTACTTAACATTAGGTGATTTAATTTTTGACTTGATACTGATTAAAAGTGAAAAGTTCATTTTCACTAGTTGTGGCCACCTCTTGTCCACTACTAAAAATATACGATATTTTTGTTTCATTAGTGGACATCTCATTCAATTGACTTGGAAAATAAAAATACTATCAGGAAGGTCTTAAAACATACCAACGAAGCTCATATTAATAGTATATCACCAAAAAACTTTCGTGAAACTAACTGTTAATACAGCAAGCGTGATTTCACTTACCTAGACCTTAAGGAAACAGACAGCAGACTCACTTGTCTTCTTATATCAACAGGAATGCCATCACTAATGAGTGCGGGAAAACATCCCATGATGCACTAGAAAAGGATCAGTGCGAGTTACCACCACTAGAGGGTTCTGTCTACTGAATGATTTGTATGTTTGAACAGTGAAGCCATCAACAACCTTATTACTCATATTTGAAGTTCAAAGTGTCCACTACTAACGCAGTGTCCACTACCGGTGCGTTTACCTTAAATAATTAGTAAGAAGTAGAATAAAAAATAGATAGTAAATAAAGAAGTAATAAGAAGAAAATTTATCAGTTGTGAAGTAGTCAGCAACAAAATATGGAGAAATATTACAAAACTTTACGGAAGAAGAGTCACAAAAACTAAAACTGTAAACACAGATTTGACTGTAAACTTACTTGTTAGATGTTCAGGAATTATAGAGAAGTATTTTTATATAGTAATAAGCAGGAAATTAGGATAATCCTATTTGTTGATATTCAGATGACAAAATTAGATATCTTCTTCATTCCAATATACAATAGAAGAAAAAACTGAATTTGTAAGAAGTACAATAAGAGAGATACTTAAAAGAGATAATGACTTGAAGAAGACTTCAAAATAACAATAAAAAATAATAATCTCAAAAGTAGATGTTAATGAACAAGAAAAATGAATTTATATATTATAGTGCAGTATCAAAAAATTTATGAAACTTTATAAAGTTTTTTTGAAGATATAAGCCAGTGGTGTATACTCTGTAAAAAATTACTAGACAAAATAAACATCTGCATAAACTATGGGAGCAGTGAGCCATGGATACAAGTTTGTGATTGCAATTTAAAATCATCATATCATCCATCCCATGTAGCCCACATTTTTTTTCAAATTGTCATTTAAATGTGGATTACATACATGAAAATACAGTGTATTAATTACAGGAAATTAGTGTACAGCCATATTTGATTCTTTTAATTTTACTCTTTTTTTTATGATTTATTACTAATTCTTAATATTATATAAAAAGATAAGAAGCATATACAGGAAATTCTCATTAGTTCGAAATTCAAGGGAAAAAAATAATTGCATTTTGAATTATTCAAGATTTACATATTTCTTTACAATATGCCAAATGCTGTGTAACTGATGTAATTTATGAAGCAAACAGAATATGGCTAAGTATACAAAATGCTAATTTTGTTATTTGATAATTATTAATAATAATATAAATAAACTTCAGGTAAACAGAATGTGTCCAGTGAGAACCTCACATGTTGCCAAATAGATTTTATAAAAAATAAAGCAGAATTGTCTAAATATACAGTGGTGCCTCGTATAATGTACGCCTCGAATAACGGACACTGCAAACAATGGACTTTCTGTTTGGCCATTACGTGACTCAAGCAACGGACTGGCTGCAACAAATGGACTTTCCATGTGGCAGTTACGTGAGGTGAACAACAAACTTTCTGCGAACGAGTGTGAATGATGTTTCCACTCTTTTGCTGTTGCCAATGACAATCTCCTATTTTTATAATATATTTGAATTATTAGAATATATTATTAGTATATCTAAAGTACAGAGCTCCCATTGGGATTCGGCTTGCTCTCTTGTTTATTACGTACATCACCTCAATGCAGGATATTTATATTTATTCAAGTGTTGTGCAAATCATTGGCTTCTAAAATAACAGAAAGGTGATTTTAATTGAAACAAAGCAAGAAATCATCAGAAGGAGAAGTTGACAAAAACTTTCTTGTCAAATGGGGAGAGGTTAAGGAGTTTACCAACACTCATTATCCAAACAGAGCTAAGGCCAACAGAATCAATGATCTCTACAATGATATTCTTGCCTGTCATTTCCGACAGGTGTTGAAGAAGAGAGAGAAATAAACCATCTTGGACATGTTTTTCAAGAAGCAAGCTGCCAAAAAACAAAGGATGGAACAAGAGGAGATGACCCTGCAAGCTCCGGTAGCCTCTCCTGAATCTGACTCTGATTAAAAAACAATAAAAAGAGACCTGCTGCAATGTGTAAAAAGTCTGTATCTGTATGAATGTGTGAAGAAAGTGTTCCTCTATCTCCTCCTCACATCTGACTACCCGGCATAATCGGTGACTGCTCCATTTTCATTTTTTTTTTTATGGAACAGTACGGTTATTTTATTAATTTCATTTTTTTTTTTTATGGAACAGTGCGGAACAAATTATATGTTTTAACATGTATTTCTATGGTAAAATGCATTTTGTATAACGGACTTTTCACTTAACGGACGTGCACCTGGAACGGATTAAGTACATTATACGAGGCACCACTGTACTCCAAATTATCAATATCTTTAAAGTAGACCAAAAAGTAGTAAGTTCCCCAAACCTAGTATTGTAGAGCCCTCAAATATCTCCATCTGCTATAGCCAAATCTGAAACCTAGCTATATTTTATGAGATAAGAGAAAAAGGGTAGTTGATGAGTAAGGTGACACCTGAAGATGTGTTACTATAAAAGCAAAGCCATGTTGACCAGAGTTGTTCATTGTCTATTGTTCTCTTATAGTATGGCGGCATGTGAACTTCAATCTAAACATAGGAGTTAATATATGTATATCACACAGTTTAGACAGAATTTTCATGTCAAATTTTTAACTAACCAAATTCCTTGGCATATAAACCTCTTATCTCTGGCCAGGACAAACAGTACAGTTATAGACTAATGGGATTTCAAACTATCTGAGTTTGAATTAACAAGGATTTCCTATACAAGATTCAATAAATAAACTATAAAGAATCAGTATATGAAAAATATAATATTAAGACAGGATTCTTATACTCTAGGAAAACATTTTATAGTGAAATAAACTTTAATGTTAGGATATTGAATGCTTTTGATGGAATTATTCAAAGTTAGTTGATTAACATTGAACAAAAACTAGGATTGTGTAAAAATTTTCTGAATAAAAAAGTATTGAATTTCTTAAAGAAAATTAATTCTATTTATTTCCTACTATAACAGTTTTTATGCTTTATTTTTATTATGGAATATTTTAGAAGTTGATAGCAATAGTTCATAATGCCAAAAAATATATATCTTATACATAAAACTTAATATTTAATATTGACTTGCTGATTAGACAAATAACTTGTTTACCTGTTTAAAAATTTCTGATATTCTAGGAATCCTTGGACTTGTATTTAATTTGTAAATCAAGTTGCAAATTTGCAAGTTGCATTTGAAGCATTCCTTGGAATCAATAAATGAATGAAGTAAGAAGAATACATAATTCATTTTTCATATTTGTGGATCAGGCAATAAGACAACCTATCACTATAGAGATCTTCAGTAGTTTAAATCTGATTCAGGCTCTCAAAATTTATTATTTGAGTTGGTAGTTTTCTTCATTAAACAGTAGTAATTTTATTATTGTTTTTGAGGTATTCATTTTACATGAATATATAATGTTAGAATTTTGTAAAATTATTTTCAAATTTTTAATATTTAATTCTTTTTTTAAATTTCAGGTAGTAGCAATTTACAGTCCAGTCCTACAAACTTGGGTATACATCCTTCGTCTCCTACATTTAATATTTCTTTGTCTAGTCCACCTTCGTATAAATCGTCATCTGGTTTACAGACACCTCCACCAATTACATCTGGAAGTACTACCGTTAATGCAATTTCTAGTCCCGTTGAAACCATCGATCCCAACTGGCAAGCTAGTAAAGCGAGTATTCGAGAAAGAAATGCAGCTATGTTTAACAATGAACTTATGAGTGACGTCCATTTTCTAGTTGGTCCAAAAGGAAATACACAGCGAATACCTGCTCATAAATATGTTTTGGCAACTGGCAGTTCAGTTTTTTATGCAATGTTTTATGGTGGACTCGCTGAAAATAAATGTGAAATAGAAATTCCCGATGTAGAACCGGCATCCTTTTTGGCACTTCTGAGGCAAGTATCCCAAAATTAATTAATAGTAAGATTAAATATTTTAAAATTACATAATTAAAGATTTTACATGGAAAATATTATATAAATAATAATAGGATAGAATTAACTGTTGTTATTAATTATTATGAAGAAATTTTTCACTTAATAATAATAAATTAATATATTTTTAACTGTTTATCAAAGCACAGAAATTTACTGTCTTATGTTTGCAGATAAAATGATAAAATCTTTATTAACCTTAATATGTTACATAAAATTATGAGAACATTCAAGACAATACTTAATGTGTCATTCATGACAAGGTGGCATAGGTACTGGGATTGTTGACCTGTGGTTAGAACAATTCTCATGGACATAAGGTTGATAAATAAAAGCAAATGAAGATGCTTGTTTTAAACTGTAACCTAATATAAAGGAAAAGACAAATAAATATAATGATAAAAAGTTTTAAATTAAAAGGATGCACATTATTCAGCAATATCAGAATATTAATATAAATGAAATTTTAATTTTTGTACGTAGGATCATTTGTGAAAATCATTATTATTAGTACTTTGAGTCAGGATATTAATCTTCATCTTTTGCATATGTTGATCAGACTCTTTATAAATCTAGTATATCTAAGTTTATTCAAATTGAAGTGTGTGATTTTGGCACTTATATATGATATATAATGGAAAACTAAATGACACTAGAGTGTAGAATATTTAATTTATTAAGATAAATTACTGTGGAAATTAAAGTTAAGTATAGAGAACTTGAAGACATTTTTATGTGAATACAGTAGAGCATTGATTATCCAAATGTCGATCAACCGAAATGTCAATTAACCGAAAGCGTTCCAGTTGGCAAATTTAAATTTCCGCTAGTGCTGTGGCACTGCAATCTTTGGTTATGTCTTGGGCTGCTCTAATATTATTTTTGTTGGTGTGCATGTTTTAGCTGGCAGCACTGGTGTTACCATGAGAGGGTACTTAAGGATGTGCCAGGATTTGAATGAATTTTAACATGGGATAGGTTAATATATTTTTTCATACATAACTGGTTATCCAAAAAATCAATTTTCAAACAATCCCAGTTCCCAATTGATTTGGATAATTGATGCTGTGGTGATATCGGACCTCCTCACCCTTCCTATCTGGTGGGGGTTTCGTCGGGGCAGACGCGATCCATCCATCGACACATGCTAACGAGGGGCCGTTAAGACCGGGGAAAAAAACATGGAAAGAAGAAATTTTTGAGAGAGGAATTTGGGACAGGAGAGGGAGTGTGAAGTAGCGGTCCCTGAGAGTGAAATAAAGTTTTTTGTGGAAAGATTGGACTGGTTAATTGGTGAGACGAACCAACAGGGTGGAATCCGCTGATTAAGAACGGGTTCCCTACAGATGCTCTACTGTATATAAAATCAAATTGTTGATAAAACAATTGTACTTATCATTGCATTATTAAGTATAACATCCAGTAACTCCAGATTTAAAAAAAGACTAATCAAATTATCTGTGCTATGCATTATTTTGTGAACTGTAATTTAATGTATGACAAGTAAATATTAATTCAATCTACACTATATTTCTATAAAAATAGTATATAATTGGAATAAAAATAATACCATCTCAATAACAAAAATAATTTTGATATCACTAGTATCAATTAATAACATCTGATAAATAGATTTATTATAAGTTTAGTAAGCATTCTGAAAATTTTGATATCACTAGTATCAATTAATAACATCTGATAAATAGATTTATTATAAGTTTAGTAAGCATTCTGAAAACTAGACACAATAAGATTAATGATACAGTAATACTCCTATCCCAAAATAATTGTCATATTTTTTTAATTTATGAAAAATAAAATGCAAACTCAAATAAAATGAGTAAGTTTTCATTTATTCATGGTGAAATAAAAATTTATTTTTAACAATAATGAAATAATTTAGTCAACATTTAAGCATTATGATGCTTAAATATTAGACTTATAAGCAGGCGAAGGCATCAAGATCAAGCATATATGAAAAAGAATATCTTCTATAGTAGTCTCCACTTCCTTAATGTGCATAATGTCTGTATAAACTGAGAAATAAAATCAAGCAGGCATAATTAATGTGGGGAACATTTATCTGTGTTTTGTAAAAAAAAAAGTTGGTGGCATGATCTGTCAGATGTATGAATTGCTGCAGGTTTTTGAGGAAGAGGTGAAAGGCTAATTATACACATAAATGGATTTAATTTAAACCAAATTCACTGAAGCATTGAATTTGGAGATGATCCAAGTGTTCTTTTGATGATAACGACACAACTAGAACATTGTCAAAATATGGAATAGAGAAATTAAGTCCTCCCAGAATATGATGTATAAAATGTTGGCGTTTTGGTCTGTGTAGCATTACATAGACCAAAATTCATAACTACAAATTCAAAAAAAATCTAAGTGTTGTTATGATAGCTGTCTTTGGCATTTCTTCAGGGTTGGTAGGAGTTTGGTCTTATGATCTTGTGAAATTTAATGTGGTAAAAATTAATTTGTTACTCAGGACCTGCATTCAATCTTGGATTCAGGACTGAGTACCATACTGGAATTATCATCACATTTAGGCATCAGTAATCATCATGTAATCTGGCAGTGGTCTCTAGTCACCATTTCTCTTCTGAACCAAGTATCAGAATGTGCCAACTCTTTCAAAGCTCATTGGCTTTGAGAGAGTTGGCATATTCTTAGGTCAAGCATGTGCTCAAATTTCTTTCTGGCTACTAATTCTTTGTCAGGTCCCAAGCAACATGTAAGAAGAAGCCAAGACCCAAAAACAAACCTCATCTTGTTTAATACCAGAGGGAAAGAAACCCTCTGGTCTGGATGTATTAAACAAGATGAGGTTTTAATATATAGTTGGTTTGCTGTATGTTAAATAACAATGTAAATTCGTCTCTGTAATCCAAAACACACGCTTTGGTAGACTTTTCTCACAGCAATTTTTGCTAAATTGCTGTGAGAAAAGTCTACCAAAGCGTGTGTTTTGGATTACAGAGACGAATTTACATTGTTAAGATGAGGTTTGTCTTAGGTTTTTGGTTTAGCTGTTACTAATTCTGGAAATTTTGTTAAGAGCCTGTGGAAAGGGGTATATTTTGAGACCAGGGTGACTGTTGGGTCAGGATCTCTACTTACAACACCTGGTGTTGTCAGAGTTGTAGTTTTGTAGACTAGGAACTGGTTTTGAAGATTGACCATGAGCCCAAAGTTCCAAAAAAATCTGCTCTGATATGTTGGGAATTGGAAGTTTTGAAAAAAGGCCAGCAGAAAGTTTGGCATAAACCTGGGTTGTCAGTCAATATGCATTGGCTGTATGTACTGATAGTTGAGCCATTTATTGCAAGTACAGTTAGTGCAGGTACAACTGATATCTGCCCCCTACGCCAGGAATGAATGAGGAACAATTTGCGTGTAATTTGTAATTCGAAACCATACAACTGACACCTGCAGTTTGTCAGTTGTATGGTTGTCTGCCAGTGTCTGCATTCATTGAAGTAACTTGGGGGACACTAACCAGTTCTAACCTCTGAAGTAGCAGCTGCAATTGGTACTGTTTGGAATTGACAAACTGGGCAATTATACATTGCTTAAGTGTAGAATAGTGTCCATTGTGAACAGATTGAGTATGAGGCTGCTCACATGGGTTAGGGTTTTGTTTTCTATGGCTGTCGTCACATGATTAAACTTAGTTTCATCAGCTGTAACATCAGCTATGGAAAATTATGCCTTGATCTGGGTAAACCAAATGTTGGATTTGCTCTACAGAATGAAGGCACACATAATGCTACCTTTAAGACAAATAATACTACCTTTTGGTTGTTCATGACAGATATAGTAGAACTAGGTACAAAAAGGAGAAAAATATATAGTCACCCAGTAAGATGTTATGAGATGTTGGAGATCCTCATCGTGAAGATAGAATGAAAACTACAAGCCTTGAAATGGCAAAGAAAACATTGCAAAGGCACATGGTTGAATAGATGGTTTACCAGTTGTAATGACTTCATCTACACTGCTAAGTAAAAATTGGTTTATGGGAGTAAAAAGATGCAGTTCTTGCTCAGGGAACAATTTTATTCAACGGATTACTGTAAGGCACATTTTATATACTTGGTTACAGCTGGGGCAAATTATATGTGCATCATAGATGGAAATAGACACAAGAGTAGGAATGGGAATCACAGTTAGACCTCGTTTAGTGCTTCCTCGATTAACACTGATTCAATATAATGCAGTCTGCTTGAAGCCTAAAAAAAACTCAAAATTTATGCTTATTCAAATCATCGCTTCATTTTATTGATTCATATATAATAAGATTATTCCCAAACATGAAGTGATCAACAAAAGGTGGCAATTCATCATTGCACTGTACTTCCCCTAAATCTATGTTTGTTTGTTGCAATTTTGAAAAAAATGTAGCATTATGGATGCCATAGACAATATCAACTTTGCTTGGCAAGAATTAACTGATAAATGCATGAACAAAGTGTGAAAAAAGGCATGGCCAGAGATATCTAAGGATTCTCAATGAGAAGAGCCTATCGTTGACCAAATTGTCATACAGCAGGACTAGATGTAGGTGAGCAGGATATTGAAGAGTTACTGCAGGTTTCTGGTGAGAGCCTTACCAATGACAACTTTCAAGAACTGGCAGAACAAGGAATTCATGTAGAACTGGAAAATAGTTATTCTGAAAACAAAGAACCCAAAGAATTTATCTACAGATTTCCTTAGTAAAAGTTTGGTAATGATAATCGAAATCATTGATCAAAGTGTAGTGAATGATCAGATTTTGAAAGGAGTGCAAAAGCAAGATAAGGCATTTTGGATGTGATCTCCTGCTATCGACATTTGCTTAATGAAAGAAAAAGAAAGTGACAAATGACACTAGACGAGTTCATCACAATAAAATCAAGAATTTCAGAAGAGCCAGGACCTCATCACAAAAATGAACTTTATATTTCTGT